GCACAGTTGTCATTTATTGCCATAACTGGAATGACTGCCCCATCGGAAAGATTGATTGCCGTAGGTTGATCAGGATCGCTTCGGCTACCAAACGTTCTTTGTGAATTCTGAACACACGCTTTCGAAATGTGCGATTTTCGAAGTCAACTACATGTCCTTCGCACATTGCGTGACCTGCGATTGCGGAATTGTGTTCCACTCGATTCCAACCTGCTGCATCATTTGGAATCTTCTTTGTTAGACGCATGTGCACAGTCATTCGTTTGTCTAGGCTTCTGGACGTTTGGCCGACACGTTACAGGACAGTCTAGACAACTTATTCTGTAGACTACGTCAGATATGTCCCCTTTTGCACGCGGGTCTTTGAGGTTAACAGTCTTGAGTAAATTGTGTTAGTGTTTTTGAGCATAACCTTCATGTTGACACGCTTTATCATCCGTTGTATGTCTTCGGACGTGTTTTTACGATATGGAACCACAACAGTTGACAACCAATCGTTTTTCGGCGTAGTTGACTGTAGTGTATTTTATATTCCGACGTTTGATTTTTTTGATAAACTCCTTCGGATATTCGTCATCCTCTGATTCTTTAGTAATCCGGTTCGTCTCTTGACGTTTATCCTTTCTATCGGTTCCTAGTTTCCGAGTTCTAGCATGTTTTTCCTTTGTATTGTCAGCGGTAATTTACCCTAGCCCAGTAATTTCACATGGCAATCAATAAAATGTAGGGTATTGTCAGTCGTTTTCAACGTAAACTTGATTTGATTGTGAAAGTCATTCAAAAATTGCGTGAATGATTCGACATACACTTTCTTTATGACGACAAAAGTATCGCACCACTAGACTCTTGGTACTAATATTGTCGAATTCAGCGGCCATTCTTCCAACTCTTCTATCAACAGTTATCGGTGAAATGAGTGATCCCATGGCAACACCTTCAGTTTATACGTAGAGTGACTTTAGACATAGTTCAATTGATTTCATTATTGTGTCAGCTGTCAAGTTCGTTCGATCATTGAGTGTGTGATCGCTGTTAAGATGACTACTCACTATGCCCAGATATTCATGCATAATGATTCGTGTGAACGAGGACACCACATCTTTCATCATCTCTCCCTCATCTCACTGAGCATTCATTACGTTCTACAGTCAGTGTTCTGAGCTTTTCCACCAAATGAAATGAATTCTTGATGAAATGCTCATTACACTTCAAAATTGATCGTAAAGTAGGTGTGAGAAATTTTGGTAGCTTGTAATTAGGGATTTTCGTGTAGTCAACAATGGGACGAATGAAAACGCTTGGTTTGTGTATCTTGGGTAGACCATGAAGCGGGCTGGAAAACAAGTCTTTGGATACAGTTGGAAACACTTTGACTTACCTAACTTTGGTTTGAGCTCCTGAAGTATTTTAACTTTAAGTGCTTGTGTTTTGTTCAAGATCGCTCTGCGTTTCTGTTCCGGTAGTTTTTCATGCGGTCCGGTCAACAGATGTTCCAGTGCCTTTTTCTCGTAGTCCGTTCGATCCATGATCACAGCTTGGTTGGTGATTACAACTGAACGATCATTGCGTAGATTACGATAAGCCATTTGTTCCCCCCGTGTCAAGTTGCTAGTCTGTGACTTTTGGTTTCTTAGCACCCGCATGATTTGGACTCGAATTGCGTTGGCTTTTTTTCGTCCAATTTGCAAGCTTATCTTCTAAGGTTGGTATTAATCAATCGGCTTCAATATAGATACGCCCATATTAAAATTCAGTCCTTCATCAAGGGGTTTCCGACTTAGCAGATTAAGAGGTGGTTAGATGGTGGAATGATGTTCTTAGATGCCAATTTATCAAACTTCTTCATCGGCCGTTGTTTCACCTCTTTCATTCTCTGGTTGAATCCTCGTGCAGTATACTTTGAAAGGTACTCTGTTTTGAATAAATTATTGACGTCTCCTATCGCTGCGGCTTCTGGCACAACTCCTTGATTATTTTCTTTTTCCTTCGAATGCCTCTCTCAGGAACACATCCCTTCAGGCGGTTTTGATATTCCCTTAGAAACAGTTCACGAGCCTAGTATATTTATGGGTGATATGGTTCCTGTACCCACCTACCTGTCTCCAGTTCCACGTGATCCAAGACTAATTCGCGTGGAGGGTGGTGTTGACAATCCGCTACACTCGGCCGAGGTGGACCAGCAAACTCAACGAATCAGCTGCAATCCAGTAGTCGATCACGATGAACTGGACATGGAAGACGATGTAGATGATGATGATCACATGATCGGGGCTGGTATTGACGATGATGATGATGATGTAGATGTGGTCGATGTGGACGATGGGTTGAACAATGAGCGAATCGAACCACGATCAACGCATCTTGGTGGAGAGTGTGTTAACTGTTTGAGCATGATGTGTTTCGGGAGCTGTGTGTCCGTAGTGTTTGATCTATTCGGCCCAATGCGTTCATTTGTACAAGAATTATTATCTCCTTGGATTCTGGCCAGTGTGACATTTGGATTTATGCTTTTGTCAAGCACAGCCACCATGATGGGTAAGTCGGGAGAGATTCTAATGAGAAGCTATGTCACTCAGCTCAATGCTTGTTCCGTTTTTTTCCAAAGTACTTTTCCACGGTTTATCTGTTTGTCACCCAAATATTTAAACTAGGGTCTCAAAAGAAAAAATATCACAAGTTCACTATGAAGATAAATATAAATTGCGTCTAGTAAAATACAACTGTTCTTGCTTCTCATTTATATGTTTTTTCCAACTAGATATCGAATCGGATTACCAAGTATGTCGTTTGGTGGCTTTTAGTTCGCATTGGTCAGTGACAAGGTCGATGGAAATGCTGATTCATCGCAGTTCTATAACCAGAATCCGTAAACCTAGTTTGGGTCACGGTTTTTCACTTCCTGTTTTTTACGGTGTTCACCTGTGTTTTAACACGCCTCCAGAATAGTTATCAACGAACCATGGAAACGCAATACGGAATTGTGATATCAACAGTGTCCAACCTTAGTGTTCAGGACTATGCCTCCAATCTTTGTACACCGAAGTGCGAAATGCTAGACGACTGAGTTCTGTTTCATTGTAATGCTGTTAACCTTCTCAGTTTGCTTTAGCCAGTTTGTAAAGTGATTTGCCGAGATGTGAGCGCGTTCCTCTGAGAAGCACCGCACACGGAAACTTAGTGTCGAGTGAAAACCGAAAACCAGAAGGAGGGACATGTCAGTTTTCCATTCTTTTTTTTAATTCTCTTTACTGTGGGAGTGCTTATGAGTTGTTGTTTCACTTACTGAATACATCGAGGTGGATCGATTGTTCGAATAGAAGGGTCAGAAATGCTCGCGCATGGAAAAAATGACTGAGTTCACTTTCATACGTCTTGAAATGCTAAACATCCAGATGGTTCTTCAAGTCTCCAGCTGCCAGAATAACCTGACAATGAACGTTTTAAATCGGGCGCCATTCTGTATCCTTGTTATGGCATGTAACATCCGTTTCAAAGTAT